TTAGATAAAACATAAATTAACAAGATCACTGAATTCATGTTTTTTTGCAGTGCTTTTCAATTGTTTATTTTTAGATTTTGCTCAGTATTTGACAGTTTCTAAAAATTCAATATTTTCTAAATTAATAAAAATGATTAATATTAGTATGACGGTACCCTCATTTGCCACATAAAATAGTTTCTTAGAAGGTATTTTTGTTTACTTAGATCAGTAAAGCTGGTATATAGGGAAACAGCTTTAGGTACTGTATGTTGATTCTGCTAAAATTATGTCAATGTGTTTCTATATTTGTTTCTTAGGTTTTCACGCACATCACTCATTAAATAAAACTAGTTTTTACAGGTTAATGCACGAAACTTAATTTATATTATGTCATAAATAAATAAAGTTTCGTGCATTAACCCGTAATAACTAGTTTTATTCAATGTGTTTCATTAATTTTGATATTTGACACATAACTGACTAAAACAAAAAATTACAAATTTATTTGCTTACTCATTTATTATTTGTTATCTGTTATGTAATTTTTAGAAATAGAAACTGTGTTATAAAGTTGCACCATTGAAGTTCTATTGTGACACAATTTGAGCAGAATCGACACCCTGATCAGTAAATGGAAGTGCTTTGTAGAAAACAAATAGGAAGTAAAGTAAGCCACTTTACCACCTAAAGTTATATATAAGTGGAGTAATGGAAATCTGATGCGTTACCTGCTCTATTGAGCGTGTAATGCGCCGATATTGTGATACCTAATGTTAAAGTGATTCAAGGAATTTATATAAAATTATGTAATGTAATATGCCTAATTAATTAATGAGCCCCGCCCCCCCCCCCCCCCCCCCCCCCCCCCCAGAATTAGACAATCCGATCGAAATACTAGTTCAGTAACGGATGGCGCCCTTCAGAGCTGTTCACAGGTGCGAAATAGAGAAGCTGTTAAACAAAAAGGGAAGATGCGGTACGCTTATACTAGTATCAAATAAAATATGCTCCGACCCAACTAAATAAACAACTCTCACACACGCACACTATGGCGCAGACGTCTGTAAATAAACATTCAATCAAACGAGCGAGAACTGTACGCTTCAACGCAGCGCGAGCGAAACGGCACTTCGCGTCGCTTGGCTGCCGAGTGGGTTTCTTTGTCTCGCTCAATTGGCCGAGCTGTATTTTTGTCCATTTCTTAATGATAAATGGCAAGTAAGTATATAACATTCATGACAAACTGATTTTTAAGATAAATATGATTTAAGCGGACTACTGACATACTGACATCACTGCCGCAGAGGCAATCTAGGGTGTAAGAGTGGGGATGACCCTTAATTGCCTTCTTAATGAGGGCTATCGCGTATGAATCCGCCGCTAGAGGCGCTAGTGTAGCGTGAGGTCTCCGAAATGTCAAATGTTATTGCTTGTTGGTTGACTACGCGGGTTTATTTCTTATTAAAATAATGTTGTGAATAATTGGTAACAATTCGGCTTAATTATGGCAAATATGAGGTATGTGGCAATGAATGTCAGTTATTAAAAATTTGAGCTTAGAAAATGATTATGTTCCCATTTTTTCCGAATAAAACAGAACTGGGCGTCACTGTGGCATGGCCTATTATGTTTAGGATATGGTTCTTTTGTGTTAAAATACGATCTAAATGTAACCTTTGATTTCATGTGCGTATTAATAAACTTTAAAAGTTACAATTTAGGACCTCACTCAACAGTGGCACCATCTGGTGAGACAGAAAACGGTAGCCCTCATTGTGATGTGTGTGTAGCAGGCAATTTTCTAAATCGGGCCTGCGGCTGGCCGGCAGGACCGCGAGATCACCCTTGGTCACTAGATTGTCCCTGCCGTCCTGCATGTTGCCGCGTGTGTAGCGCGATCGGGGCAATTTCCCAATCAGTTGGTTGGTAACAGTCACACGAAGAGCACGTATTTCGATTTTTATTTATTAAGCGTGTAACTGCGCGATGTTTTAATCTAAAGAAAATAGTACTAGATAAATTTAAATACATAGTTTATTTTTTCTTGTAATAATTTCTTTAGATTCAAAATCGAGCAGTTACATGTTTAAAAAAATAAAATTACAACTTTAATTGCTATTTCTTCTTTCAAATGTTTATTACTTGTAAAAGTATTCATTTGACATTGTGGGTTACCTACAATGCGAAGAGATGGCGCTGCCTTGCAGCTTAAGAAAGGCTAGAAAAAATTCGGTACGGCCGTCAGGGCCGCGGTAGCATAATTGGTCAGTGCATTCGCCTGGATAGCGAAGGATGCGGGTTCGAGTCCCGTCTGCTGCCAGGTCCGCGTGGATTTTTTTCAGGAAGGCTTTATAATACTGAATATACGCATATATAGTTATATTGAGTGCACATGTTTGGATGTCAAATTATGTCTAAAGCAAATTCTGTTCATGCACCACAATTTAAGCGGTATACCTTTGAGCCACGAGTCTCGTATCTTCTCTTTTTGTTTTATTCTAAAGCGCGTGTTCCACCTGACTAAATTTAGACGTTCTAAATCATTCAGTAACTAAATCAGACAAGGAAATAGCATTTAGGAAGTTAATATTCTAATTAGCATCCTAAATCTCAAGAAGTGTGGCTTCTGACTGTTAGGAACGTGTGATACGGTTCATCAGATCAAATGCTTCAGTCGCACAGCAGGCGTCATTGCGTGAGGGCGTTATTGTGTCTACGATAACGAATTACGCGAGTGTGCGATGTTGGCGGCAAAAGAAAAAGAAGTTATGAGTAACATAATCGAAATGTATAAAGATATGCCGTAAATTTGGAACAAAAACGATAAAAAATTATTAATAATATTAATATTCTTTCATCCACGTTTTCCGTTTTTTACTTTCTTTTATTTTTATTGAGCCAACGGCCAGGCCTACGAGAAGACCGATTTTTTGTTGCTTTGACAGGACTGGAGCCATTGGGAAAAAGTCCGACTGAATTCGCCGCGCGCTTGTTTAAAAATTTAAAATGGACTATCCATCAACATCATGTGGTCATAACAATACCACTAATATTCCGAAAAAAAGCGTGTTGACTCATGTTTTGTGCCAATCTACTTCAACAAAGTTTCCAAACAAATTGTTTTTGACTGGAACTTCTGACCCAAAACTGAAAAAAAAGTGGTTTGAAGCTGCGAAGAGAAATGACAATTATTCTCCAAAGACCATTATTCGATGCTGTGAAGATCACTTTGACGTAAGTCGGCGAATATACTTGTTATATGCTTAATTAATCTGCTTGTACGTAAAAACGCATTAGTAACCTACCTAATACTTACAAAACCTGTCTATAACATATTTTTAATTTTACAGTTGGAGAATGACGTCGAAAATTAGATAAACTTTAAAATGTGTGGCACAATCTTCACATTGGCAGGACTGAACCAAGCTTTGCGTTTCATTTAAAATAACTGTAACACGATAACCTTCTTTACGTACTTTATGCTCCGGAGAACTCGACCTTTTACTGTACATAATTCTCCATCTCTTTTAATTTGGACATAGCCGATTGCATTATCGCCGTAAGATTTGTAGAAGCTGCTGAATAAAATACGAAGTTTAACAACTATGATTTTTACATATCGTAGTAATTTAGTCCCTTTCATTTCTACACTTAAAAACTCTGCATTTTGGACAAAAAAAGTTATAACCATGTCAACACTAACTCTTGGTAAATTCCTGGAGTCTGCTTTGATAAACGCAACTTCCATTTTTATTAAATGTAAAAAAACGCAATTAATATTCCCATAAAATAATATTTACTTTAACAACCATAACCTCAAAGAAGTTGTCATAACAGGAGTGACGTCACTAAACGCTGATTTGTTTCAAGTATTTTTAATTCATAATAATTGTTAAAAAACAACATTATGTAAAATAAAAACGTTGCAGTGGCATTTCTTTTATATTTTTTTAACATTTTAATCATAAAATTTTCATAAATATTATATATGCATCTTCCCTATTCTCCAAAACAGATCTAAGGGTACAGACAGATAGCGGCAGTGACTGACTGGCGCTTTATACTAAGTAACACTAGAGAGTACCCGCGATTTAGTCTTTGTGGAAAAGTTGGTTTCTCATACAAACTTCCACCCACCTTCAAACCCCTTAAAGGATCATTTCTGGAACAAAAAACTTTTCTATCCTATGCACTTCCGCGGGACTCCTTTGCTGAACCAAATTTCAACCGTATCGGGACTGCACTTTAAGTGTAAATATGTAACAGTAACAGGCAGACAGACACACTTTTGCATTTATAATATTAGTATAGTTCAGCAACGATATTAAATACCCTAGATACACCACGTGCGCTCAAAATGTGTCCCAATCAAGAAGTGCTTGAACACCACTCAAGCACTTCTAGATTCACAGTTGCGTGCGGAACGTTGAAAAGTTAACATGCCGCAGATCTCCATGAAAAAATGCGAAAAAAATATTTATAATACGTAAAATTTTTTGTTCGTAATGTTGAGGGTATTTAATATCGTTGTGGTTTAGATACTTATAGTTTCCATATAACGCCATCTATTGCTAACAAAACTTGAAATGGTTGCCGCGTCGCTCGCCGCCGAACTCTGGCCGCGCTGTTGTCGTGGACGTAACGAAGATACTATAACGAAAAAATAGTATGAAGGCCTAAATCCTGAGTAATCTTCGGGATGGCTAGTGGGAGTCTTCTTACTTAACACTACCACTAAGATTTTCAATGGGCGAACGAAGGAGGAAAAATACATGGGAAAAACAAAGTTCATTAAGTGAGGAGAGTCATATGATCGAAATGATTATCTTTTGATAAATAGATTAAATGGTGGATATTGTAAGGTAGAGTAAAGATAAGAATGTATAGATTTAATTACTCTTGACGTCTCATAAAGAAAATGAAAAGATTACAATTAAAATATTTTTTAAGGCTGTATGGGTATTGCTCTCTTTGCTTTTATGGAAAGGAAAAACTATAAAAAATATATTTTGACGTATATAATTCGTGAGAGAGAGCTCATCTTTGCTGAAGTTTTTGTAAATAGTACTTTTTGTTGTGTTACAAAATCGTTTTTATTCAAAAAAAATATTCTAACATTACTTGTTTTTATCGTTACAAACCTAAAACTTGTATTTTTTATTTAATAGCTCTTTGGAAAAACATGGCATTGAAATACATGAGACAAATTTCAAAAATAATGTGCAGAACAGCTTATATTCAAAGAAATATATGCACAACTCGACCGGTGTGTTTAGGGATGATACCAATTGTTGTCGAACAGACGGGACGAGGTGAACGTGCTTACGATATTTATTCGAGATTGCTCCGGGAACGAATTATCTGTCTCATGGGCCCCATAAACGACGATATCAGTTCACTAGTAGTAGCTCAGTTGCTGTTCCTTCAATCGGAGTCGAGTAAGAAACCTGTTCATTTGTACATAAACTCTCCAGGAGGCAATGTTACAGCTGGGCTCGGCATTTATGACACCATGCAGTATATTACTCCACCCGTTGCAACTTGGTGTGTAGGCCAAGCCTGTAGTATGGCTTCACTGTTGTTAGCAGCGGGAGCCCCGGGGATGCGACACGCTCTTCCCAATTCACGCATAATGATCCACCAGCCCTCTGGTGGAGTAAGAGGGCAAGCAACTGACATACAAATTCAAGCTGAAGAAATATTGAAACTCAAAGCTCAAATCAATACTTTATATGTAAGACATACTGGTCTCCCCATTGAGAAAGTCCAGAACTCTATGGAGCGTGATAACTTCATGTCTCCAACAGAAGCCAAGGCGTTTGGGTTGATTGATAATGTTTTGGAACATCCACCATCACATGCTATGGAAAAGGAATGTGCTACTGCAAGCGGCACTGGTAATACTGGGGTGTCCCCCAGTATAGCTTAATATTGTAAAAAAATGTTAAATAATAAATGTAGACTATATTTTGTATCAAATTTTTTTTTTATTCAAGTTTGTAGTAGTTCTTTTTATAAATGGAAAATTTTGTTCTGGAATTAGCTCTCTAATCCCAAAACCAAACAAGATACCCAGTTGTAGAAGTAGTTGACATTTCACCTCATTCAAGAAAAATTATGTACTATTTATCATTATCCTACACTTATTTACGGAGATTTTACAGATGGATACTGCACATACTAACTATAGTGTGTGCTGCTGGCCTGCCGCTTCTCAGTTCTTTTGTTATAATATCTTAGTTTTTTAAATTTTTACTCTGAATTTGCAACATTTCTTATTACATTAGTCACAGACTAATCTTTTGGCATTAGATTGTATCCAGTCCTTGTAGTAGGTGACATTTGTGTAGACCACCAGCGCGTGCATATTTCTATCTCTGAAGGATACAATTCCGATATCGATGAATTGCGAAGTGATCAGTGCACTACCAGAATCGCCCCTGTAAAGGAAAACACGCCACAACTTATTAAACAACTAAAGAGAATACTAAAATAAAGATTCACAGTTGTTGTAATAGGCAATGCACAATTTATAAAAAAACATGTGATACAGGTCAAGATTCCTATTAGGGTTCTGTCACAGCAACCTTATTTTACAAAATAAAAAAATATGCCCAATGAAAGGAACACGTTAAGTTGACGTTGCTGTTACCTCTGCTCTCTAGGTAATCAAGCGCATCATCATCTCGCAGCTCCCAGGTTATCTTGAGAGGCAACAACTGATCAGTGACCATCAGTATGGCATTCGATCGGCTGGTGACTAGCTCCTTTATTTAACGCACTGAAGGGCAAAGGCCATCGAGAGCAATTAAGGGTGCTAAGGTATTTGATTGGATCTGGCACAGGGCACTTCTGTCGAAGTTTCCATCTTATCTCTCCAATTTAACCTGACAAAGTCACAAGTCTGTGCGTTCAACTCGAAAAATCCCCATTCGTAGTTGCACCTTATTTCCAGGGCACCCCCCTACCATCTGTAAAAAAATTGCAAGCTGGCGACCCCTCAGCTTGCGCAGATATGTTGCGTACTAGTGCGTGTTGCCCTAGTGTGCCCCCAGGACCTCTGTCAGAGGCCTGGAAATGTCCAGGAATGCCGCGCTCATAAATATTTCTTGACTTGAAAGCTTTATAGATTTTTTCTACCCATCTACGCACTTACTCTATCGTGCCATGATATTTTCTCAAGCTAAATTGGTAGTCAGGTTTGACTTTAATTTCCGCTATAACAGTGTTTCCTTAAGCTTCAATAGAATAGGCAGTAAGCAAGAAGCGGTCGACAGGAAAACGCATATTCGGGAGGTTTTCCGGGTTTTGGTTTTTTTTTATAATAGGGGGGGGGGGGGGCATACGAGCTGACGGTTCATCTGATTGTAAGTGATCACGGTCGCCTAGATACACGCGCAACACCAGGTATCACATATGTGATGCCGCCCTTTAAGGAAGGAGTACGCTCTGTTTTTGAAGGTTTTCAGGTCGTATTGGTCCTGAAACACTTTTGGTGACAATGTATTCCACAATTTTGGCGTATGTGGAACAAAATTCGACTAAATCTCAAGGTTGTGGATCAAGATGGTGGGGCTGAAATTTATGTCGCAATGTACGAGAGCGAAAAGCAGCAGCTGGTAGTAGTCTGAACAATGCCTCAGAACAGAACAACATCTCTATACAAAGCCATAGAATCAAGCTTATCGGAAAGGTTCTGGTCATCGACAATTCGAGCACTTGACGTTGGATGCGATCCAGAGGGAGAAGCTGGTACTAGGGGCCCCCGCCCAAAGACGAGAATAGTACCTGTGCTTTATAAAGTTGCAGTCGGTGGGCCGGTTTGAAGTACTTCATCGATCTATTGAGCACACCAAGCTTCTGGGAGGCTAATTTGATGAACTGGGAACTGGATGTTGCTCGATATGTCAACGTCAAGAATACCGATACTAGCTGTGGCCGCAAGGGGAGTGTACTCAAATACGATACGACAAATAATGATGGTAATTTTTTTTTCGGTAAACGCGCATACCTGTGTCTTCGTGGGGTTAAAATGGACTAGATTAAGTCGTCCCTAATTTCATACTTTGCTGAGCAGTCTCAACTTCCGACACAAATTTGTTCCGGCTCTACATTACGTTACGCTTCGCAATACCAAAGGCTGGTCACTTCCTCTAACTCGCCAAGTAAATACTTACGATGATGGATGAGGAACCTTTGGATTGGTGCCACCCGCGCAGAACATGCCTTTTGTAATACCGCCTCCCACCAGTGAGCATGTGTATCTCGATGTTAGCCTTTGAGTTACATATCGTAATTTAGGAATTGATCGATGCGATACTTCCTGTAACATATTGTAACCTATATTTTCCAAGTTCAATGGTAAATTGCAGATGTCATCAACGAACTTTGTTATCGTTAATAATTATATTAAATATATAATGCTATATGTGTTACTCAATCACGCCTAAACGGCTGAACAGATTTGTATTTATATGTGGCGCAACAAATTACCCCACCACACCTGATTTTAAGTGTAAGTGGAGTCCAGTCGCGAAGATAGATAACGTGGCAGAAAATGTGTCGCTCCAGTCATCCTTACCTTGCCGGCCTACATCTAATCTCCTACTCCGCGGCCTGGAAACATACTCACCAACGGTAATATAACACCACTAAAAGATAGTGTTATTTTACTGTGGTCTCCTGTAAGGTGGAGGTAACTTCCCCAGACGAGCGCTACAATTCGAGCGGAAAATCCGCTGTGCCACAGATGAAATTTGCCACAAATGTAGTTTATTACATGGATTAAGACAAAGGATAATTTTTATCTTTTAAAATTTTTAGATTCCTGTGGGATTTGCAAAAAAAAAATCTATAATGTGGACGAAGTCGCATATGGAACCTAGTAAAAAATTATAATATTAAAAACTTACTTATATCTAACTTGTAAAATATTTTCATTTCATCGCTGATTGAGTCTACTTTTACATATTATAATCAGCCTATTCATGTTCCTACTGTTTGGGCACAGGCCTTCCATACAAAGGAATAGGGACATTAGGTCATGACTTACCCACGCGGGACCAATGCGGATTGATTCGTGGGTGCTAATGATTGCAGGTGCAGCCGGAATCAACGGCATAACGTGCCTTTCGAGGAGCTTGCGATATTATAATTTTGATCATATGCGAAAGTTGCTTAACTTCCACGATCAGACAGTAAATAAAACAAGATTTATTGGCTACTTCTATGGATGTAACTACACAGTCAGGTCATAAGTATGGTCACACAGTAAAAACTTTTCTTTTAGAATGCTGGCCACAAAAAAGTTTATTGAATTCGAATTGTTTATGAAAATAAAAATGTATACATTTTAGAATTTTACTCATTTTTAAAGAAGACCGTGTAGTGATGCAGTTATTGCGTTGCATCGTTGCGGTTACGCGCCAATTAAAATTTTTGACATACTGAAAAATTTGAATATAACCAAAATATTCGTTTATCGTACCATCAAACGATACAATGAAGACTAGTGTAGATGACAGGTCAAGAAGTGGTCGCCCTCGGTCTGTTAGGACTTCAGCATTGATGAAAGCTGTGAAGGCGCGAATTCAAAGAAATCCCAAAGAAAAGAAACTGTTGGCCCTTCAGATGGGGTTAAGCAGAACCACGGTGTAAATGGTGTTAAATGAAGACTTAGGGCTTCGGACATATCGAAGAAAAACAGGACATCGTTTGAATGCTCGTCTAATGGACTTGAGACTGAAGAGGTGCCGCGCTTTGTTATAGCGGTACTCGGGGAAAAAATATCGGGAAATTCTTTTTTCGGATGAAAAAAATTTTACCGTAGAAGAGAGCTTCAACAAACAAAATGATAAGGTGTACGCACACAGTAGTGAAGAAGCAAGCAACCGTATTCCGCGTGTCCAACGAGATCATTTACCATCCTCGCTCATGGTATGGTTGGGAGTTTCTTATTGGGGCTTAACAGAGGTACATTTTTGTGAGGAAGGTGTAAAAACGAATGCAGTTGTCTATCAAAATACAGTCCAGACGAACCTTGTGGAACCTGTTTCTCATACCATGTTCAATAACAGGCACTGGGTATTCCAACAAGATTCTGCGCCAGCTCATAGAGCGAAGAGCACACAAGACTGGCTGATGGCGCGTGAAATCGACTTCATCCGGCACGAAGACTGGCCCTCCTTCAGTCCAGATTTCGATTTCAAGTCCGTTAGATTACAAGATATGGCAACACTTGGAGGAAAAGGCGTGCTCGAAGCCTCAACCCAATTTGGAGTCACTCAAGACATCCTTGATTAAGGCAGCCGCCGTTATTGACACGGACCTCGTTCGTGCTACGATAGACGATTGGCCGCGTAGATTGAAGGCCTATATTCAAAATCACGGAGGTCATTTTGAATAAACTTTATTGTCATAAGAATCGATGTTTTGTTAAGTTCATTTTGGTATATAAATGGTTCATAATGAATAAAGTCGTTTCAATTAATTTATATTAAACATGTGACAGAATTTATGACCTGACTAGGTATGTGATATGATTTGCATGAGCATAGTTCGCATGAACTAAAGCTGCTTGCACATTCGCGTTCTATTTTAAGGATAATTAAGTAGAACCCACCTCGATGATGCCCCATCCAGCGACCTTTGCTTCTCTGTCACTAGGAAATCTGCTCGAAATTATCACCCTTTTAATAAAATCATTAAGGGGAAATTGTCTGTCTATTTTGGCTAGCGCGATATCGTTTTCCACGGTCATTACGTCGTAATTCTCGTGAAGCAGTATATTGGCGACATTCCTAACAATGGATTGCTTCAAAAGAAAAAAAAATAGATTACTTTTTTTAATCAATTTAATAAAGGCTGGATTGCTTCAAAAGAAAAAAAAAAATAGATTACTTTTTTTAATCAATTTAATTTTTTTTATGTTTATGCAGGCAAACGAGCTGCAAGTCTACCTGATGGTAAGTGGTCACTGGACACATGGACACTTGCAGGGCCAAGGGTACCACTCATACGTTGCTAGCTCTGAAGGATAAGGTTTACCCGCCTTTTGAAGACCTTAGGGAGTAAACCGCTGACGGAAGTCTGTTCTAGATCTTGCTGGTACACAAGAAAACGGAACGCGCGTAACGCATCGTGCTTCGTACGCCAAGCGTCCAGGTGGTGGGGGTAACATCTCTTTCCGGTATGAGAAAATCCTAAAACCTGCTGCCAGAATCGTCGCGTCGCAGTTAGTAAATTGGTGCGCAACCAAGAGTTTCATTGTGATGAAAATCGTGCGGTTAGCTACACTTCGCCTGCTTATCGTATCGAAAATAATGGACTACCTTAATGATAGAAAATGATATAAATCATAGCAAATTATGAATAAGAACCAGATATATTTTGACGACCTCCGTGGCCGAGTGGCTTGTGCGTACAAGCCACTCGGCCACGGAGGTCGGGTCGGGTTTCATGGTGTCGCCGACTCGAGAGGTCGCGGGTTCAAATCCTGGTGGTGGCAGATGTTTGTGTGATGAATACGAGCATTTGTACTCCAGTCATGGATGTTTAATATGTATTTCTATAAAAATATATATGTACAATATATGTATTCTATCCGTTACCCTAGTATCCTATAACACAAGCCTTATAGTGCTTACTTTGGGGCTAGGCTAATTGGTGTGACTGTTGGAAATATTTATTTATTTATTTATGTGTGTGTAATCCCCCAAGAAAAAATAAATATATAAAATTCATAAAAAAATCGACACTTGTTCCCGCGTTCTAAACTATCGCGATGTTTAGTATTATCACGACGACGAGATCTATTTTGAAATGTGACCAATTCGCTTTCTGGTTTGTCGAAGTGGAAGTTGTATCGCGTTGAGGGGCACGTAATTTCGCGCGCGATAATGTGTCAATGGCTAAGTATAACAGGGAAGGACTGAGGCCCACCCAAGCATGAACTTTGACATATCTATAATCGTGTCGTCAGGAAGCCAGTTTCTTCTTAAGCGGTCTACACACCAAAGCCGCTGACCCGGCGGCACAGGCTTAGTGCCTGCGGGTTAACCCGGCGGCTTCAGAATGTCCAAGCCGAACGACTTTGCCGCGGCACGACAGCCGCGGCATGTGGTGTTCTAGTAATTGCCAAATAGTCGTAGAGATTGGACGTGTGTGTTATTTTAACTGACTGAGTGAGTGGAGAGGGATGCCGTCGGCATCGGCATGCTGCCCCGCCGGCTTGCCCGCGCGGGCGCAAGCCGGCGGCATGATTGTACAAAATAAGGCCGGCGGGTTGGGCCGGCGATCCGTGCCGCCGGGTCAGCGGCTTTGGTGTGTAGACCGCTTTACGTCCGGTAGGGGCGCTGCTTAATTCGATACGATTATGGAGCTGTCAAAGTTTGTGCTTCGTTCCGTTTATCTATATATTTTCAAGGAAACTGTAATTGACTGACTGGTCTCTTAAGACACAGCTGCCATATGCCACTGAATTATTGTGCTGAAATTTGGTACGCAGAAAAGATAAAACGATGTAAAACGCGGGCAAAAGCTTAGTTTCATAAATCACATTGATTACGCTTTCGTTATACAAACGAAAAGTTACTAATGAAAGTTCTTTACCTGTTTCGTATAATCTTCATTTCCTCCAAATGCGTATATTATACTATTATCACTATATAGTGTGGTTGGACATTCCTCGAAGCAATGTGCTGCTGATAATAAAATTCTCTGGTTCAGCACAGAAGAGCCACAAATCCAAGTACTTATACCGCATGATACTTCTAGAAATACTGCGTGCGGAAAATTTCTTATATCTGCATTAGATCCGCCCACAATCTTAGATTCCATTGTGCTGTGAGAAAATTCTAAAATATTAATTAATATAATTAAAATTAAATGCATAAACGAACTGTTCCCGAGTGACATCATAAGTAAATGGTGACTTGATTTGAAGTAGCGTCACATATTTTCAGATGACGATAAACTATAACGGCTTAATTAATTTTCTTTAGGTTGGATAGGTAATTAAGTGCTTTGAGATTGAAGATAATCCGCTCTGCGTCGGTTCTGTTTTAATTAAAAGAGAACGGAATTCTCTATTGGTACCTTGGTTAATAAATGGCAAGATGACAAAACAAAGAATTACCTACAATATTTTACCAGTTTGGCAAATAAAAGATATTTGTTTTCCACTTGCTCCGTAAGTGCACTCCCATAGATAGGTCAAGGCTGTATTTTAGATATTCGGGCGAAGTAGCCCAGGGGTAGGGATGCAAAGTCTTTTAAAATATCGATATTATGTCGAAGTCAGATAAATATCGATATCCGATATGTCGGCTATGCTAAGGCGACATAATGATATTATCGATAATATCGACATTTTACCTATTTTTATAGCTCTGTTATAAGTAGGAATATATTTTTTTTGCTATGTCAATAAATAAATTATATATCGACAATTATATCGAAGTCAGGTAAAATATCGATGTCCGATATATCGACCATGCCAACGCGATATCGATCGATACTTTCAGTTTCCTTTGTAGCAGTAGCATTTTAAAATGTAAAGTTTTGTAACAAGTTGGAAAAACAAAAGCAATTTCGGCACCTAAAAACTTTATTCTGCTTATAATAATTATTTTTAGACAACACATTACCGTTCCTTGCGTCGCTCAGTCGGTCAAAAATTATTATCCTCCGTGCTCCGGAAGGTACGGTAAGCCGTTGGTCCCGTCTGCATCTGCTGTTGTTAGCACCCACCAATCCACACTGGGCCCACTTCGTGGCCCATAATTCTCCTTATTCCATCCATCATAGGGAAGGCCTGTACTCCAGCAGTGAGGACATTAATAGGTTGGTAATGGTATCGACTCTGGCATGATTATCTAAACTTAAAACTAAATTAAACATGAGTCTTTCTTTTTCATTCTGTACAGAGAATGACAAGGATACACTGTTGTTAAATTTAGTCTTAGGTTTTTTTTTTTTTTTTATAGATAGGTCCGACAAATGACTCCACCCCACCTGATGTTAAGTGAAGGTGAAGTCCAGACGTGACGATAGCTGATACAGCAGTTTTACCTGCCACACCAGCCATCCTCACCCTGCCGGCCTGCATGTTGCTTCTTCACGCCTCTTTTAAAGGATCCCAGGTTGTAAGAGGGAGGGAACACGTGAGCGGGCAGAGCATTCCATTTACGGATAGTGCGACAAAGAAATAAGTCACCAAATTTCTTTGTACGCGTTGGAATTGTGGCCACAGTTAGACGATGACAACGTAGGCCAGCGCGCGTGGTCCTCTGAAGGAAAGGAGAAGGTGGGATAAGAGAGAATAACTCCTCAGAACACTCGCCGTGGTACAGACGATAGAACGCGCTTAGTGACGCCACGTCACGGCGTAATTGAAGAGGCTCAAGGTGTTTAGTCACCTCCTCATCGCCTATGATGCGGATCGCGCGTCGCTGTAACCTATCCAAAGCATCGAGCAAGTACTTGGCGGAGCCATCCCAGAGGTGCGAGCAATATTCCACGCAGGACCGCACTTGCGTTTTGTACAACAAGCACAGTTGATCGGGCGTTAAAAAACGCCGCACCTTGTTCAGGACTCCGAGTTTGCGTGAAGCTGTTTTGATCACGGTTTCGATGTAGTTCTTTGGATTCAGGTCTGAGCGAACTTCCATACCGAGCATGGAAATGTTGCTCTGCAGAGGTAGTGGAAGGAATGGAAGGGGAAGGAATGACGATGTTTTTGCCGTGAAAGCGCAAGCCTGAGTTTTTTTGGCATTGAACTCAACCAAGTTCCTCGTACCCCATTCGGAAATGTGGTCCAAAGCCCGATTGAGTTCAATGACAAGATTCTCGCGTTTCTCCTTGGTTACCGCCAGCCCAGCCGCTGCTTGTCCGAGATACCCCGCATGCACTGTACTATCGTCTGCATAGCAATGAATATTCCCAAGAGGAATTAAGTCATTGATATGCAGCAGAAAGAGAGTGGGGGATAGGACGGAGCCCTGGGGAACGCCGGAATTCACTGAAATGAACCGCGAACTGCTACCATCCGTAAGGACACGAATTCTACGCTCATGCAGGAAGTCAGCCACCCAAGAACAGAACTGGGCTGGCAGACCGTATGCCGAAAGCTTGGAGAGAAGGCTTTTGTGCCATACCCTGTCGAACGCCTTGGCAATGTCAAGGCTGATAGCCAACGACTCGCCACGCTTGTCGATAGCCTCACCCCAGATATGAGTCAAGTACGCTAGAAGATCACCCGTCGATCGTTTCGGTCTAAAACCATATTGACGATCATTAATCAAGGTGTGATCCTCTAGGTAGCGGGTCAGATGGTTATTAAGGACCTTTTCTAAAACTTTACATAAAACTGAGGTAACTGCTATTGGCCGGTAGTTTGCCGGGTCTGAGCGATCCCCTTTTTTGGGCACCGGTTGCACATTAGCGTCTCTCCAAGTCTCCGGCACACGCCCCAAAGAATACGAGCATTGGTACAAGTGCGTGAGCACGGGAGACAACTCCGCTGCACATTTTTTGAGTACTACTGCTGGGATGCCATCAGGTCCACTAGCTTTCCGGACGTCGAGTGATTGCAATTCGGCACGAACCTCGCGCTGCCTGATTTTAATATCAGGCATCGTTGTGCCACAGTGAGGTAATGATGGTGGCAGTGCATTGCAATCATCGATTCGGGAGTTAGCCGCAAAGAGTTTTGCCAGTAAATCGGCTTTCTCCTGCGGCTTATGGGCTAGGTTTCCGTCTGGGCATCTCAGAGGTGGCAGCGAGGGCTCGCAGAAGTTTTTTTGCACGGCCTTGGCCAGACGCCAGTAGCTACGGGAGCCCGTAGGATGCGTCATAAGTTCCTGGCCAACACGTGCAACGCGCTGGGCATCCGCTCTAATGTAAGCCTTCTTACAGGCCTTGGAAGCAAAATTGTAGGCTGCTTTGAGTAAATCGACCTCGGGATCCTTGAGAGCGCGACCTCTGATCCAAGCACGATATGCCGCTTGCTTACGCGAAGCAGCTTCAGCACAGTCGTGATTGAACCAGAGGTTACGCGTGCCCTTACTGATGAGATCAGAATGAGGAATATAGTATTCCATACCCATTATAATCTCCTCAGTAATGGCAACGGCACTGGCCGATAGGTCCCTGTCACTGAAGCAGCGCTGCTTCCAAGGGACGGACGCAAAGTAGTCACGCATACCGTCCCAATCTGCCGACCCATAATGCCAGATACGGCGCTTGACCACTGCTGGACGCGGAGGCTTGGCCTGTGGTGCTTTGGCAGATATCAGGCAGTGGTCTGATGAGCCCAGGGGGGCTCTTACCACAACCTGATAGCCCTGTGGATGGGTCGTGAGCAGAAAGTCCAGTAAAGAAGGCGCTTGACTTGGAATATCTGGGATCCTGGTGGGCTGAACAACCAGTTGCTTCAAGTCATGCGTGAGAGCGAATGCGTGAGCAGAGATCCCTGCATGGTCAGTTTTGGAAGAACATAACCACAAATTGTGGTGAGCATTAAAGTCCCCCAAAAACACCAATTCTGCATTGGGAAATTGTTCCTGCGCGTCATCTGCTGCCCGACTAAGGTGTTCAAAAAGTCGAGTTGTCTCAACATCGCCGGTGTGGGATCTGTAGAGACACACGTAAACTCTGGCCAGGGGGCTAGAGTCGACGTGTACCCCCAGCATGGAGAAGGAGGGATCTTCCAAGCAGCGGAGACGGCAACAACAAACATCCGCCCGAACATACAGGCATACACCGGCTTTGCTTTGAAGGACTCTTCAAGCACGTAGCCGGGATAATTAAGGTAGCCTGTGTCAGCAGGCGGAAGTATTTGTGTCTCCGTCAGGAACAACAATGCTGGCCGTGCTGTCTCAAGATGGTGGTGGACAGCGTTGAGGTTAGAGTGGAGTCCGCGTATGTTGCAGAACTCGACCTCAAACAGCGTTGGAGGCGTGGGGGTGTGCACCGCTGAACGTCCAAACTTTGTTTTAGGAGCTGCCATTATGGAAGTGAAAAAGAGACGTGAAACGAGTGGACGTTGTCGCGACAAGACCGGGCAAATTAGGGAGGCATGTTTCCCCGAATGATTGCCTGCAGAGGATATACGCCGACCCGCCGGACGGAAGGGCCCCCGCACCCCCACGGAAGTGGCCGCCGGGACCCCACGCCCCGGTCACCAACCGGCACGACGGTCCACCCCGAGATTATGCGTGACATGATGGGGCAGCCTCGCGAACTGGTTAGGAACGCTCGGGCCCCTGTACTGTGCCACGGGCGGCCAGCGGGACAGCCGTATCTACGGGTCTCCCTGGCCGGCGGGTCGATGCAGTCCTCCCGGCATCGGTTCCACGGATGCCTAGCCCTGGACCGAATCCGTCGCGACAACCTCCACTCGAGCCCTGGTTGTACGCTGGCTGACCCCGAAACGCGCGAGAAGCACTTCACGGGTTTTTCACCATGCGCACGGTGATAACAAACCAGGCGGGTGTTAGGCACCCTACCACCAGCAGAGCGGATGGAAGCTCCGATATCCCTTAGTCGCCTCTTACGACACCCACGGGAAGAGAAGGGGCGGTGAGTTGTATTCTTTCTCCGTCACCGCACGGACAAAATGATTTAGAAAAACAACAGAATCGACACCAGCGAAAACGTTTTTTTTTTGTTTGTTATGCTATTACTCCAGTACCCCTAGCATGAACCATTATCGAATTCGAATAGTTTGCAAACCGAAATGTCAATGTCAAATTTTGTATGGAAACTTGAACAGCAGCGCCACTTTGGAGGTAACGGGAACTAAAAATCAGTACACATGTGACAATGACATTTCGGAC